TGACAATAATAAAACAATATAGTGGCATGGTTTCAGATATTAATTTAGTGATTGATTGATTGGTTTGTTTTGCTAGGGGTTGAACCTAAAGCTTAATCATGCTATAGCACTGAGCTGTATCCTCAACCCTCAGTCACTATTTTTAGATGTTTGACTATAACCTATATTAATGTGTGTCTAGTATCTTCTAGAAGTTTTAAAATAAGGAAGCATATCAAACTTATCTTTGCTATGATTAAAATATAGATGTTCAGGACCTGTTCTATGCTTACAAGAAAATCAAGTAAATCATGTTTACAAATATTTGGGTCACCACCTATTTTGCATATCATGGAAAGATTATTTGACCTTAAGTTGCATTATTCATACAAAATCCTTACTTGTGAAAAAACAGGCAAAGATAACAGAACCTTATAATACCTGTGGTTCAGTTGTTGCCAGGAAAATACTAATATTCTCTTCTTGGGAGACCTAAACTCATCTGGAGGATGCAGGTTTTTGTCTTCATGAACTGTCTCAAATCCCAGTAAAAAGAGAAGAACTCAGTTATTCAGAGAATAGGCTCTTGCAACAAGGTGGCTCATCGTGTCCTCACTTAACTACCTTTGAGGCCTTGTTAGTGGTGACAGTCTATTATCTAGAACAGCTTAACTGAGCAGTTGGACACAATAACCAAGAAAACAAATCCAAAGATCTAGCTTATAAACCCATTCCTTTTCTCCTAACTTGTCTGCCCTGTCCCAAGCACAGCACAAGTGAAAGTTCTTACAAGTGGCTACTCAGCTCCCAAATAAATCACACATGGAGAGGCTTAGTCTTACTTATGAATGCCTGGCCTTAGCTTGGCTTGTTTCTAGCCAGCTTTCCTTAACTTAAATTATCTCCATTCACCTTTGCCTCTGGGCCTTTCCCATTCTCCTATTTCTGTAAATCTTACTCTTATTCTATGGCTCGCTGTATAGCTGGGTGGATGGCCCCTGGAGTCCTCTTCCTTCTCTGGCTACCTCTTCTTTTTCCCAGATTTCTCCTTCTATTTATTCTCTTTGCCTGCCAGCCCTGCCTATCCTTTCTCCTGCCTTGATATTGGCCATTCCACTCTTTATTAGACCACCAGGTGTTTTAGACAGGCACAGTAACACAGCTTCACAGAGTTAAACAAATGCAACATAAACAAAAGTAACACACTTTAAAATAATATTCTACTACAAGAAAGTGTGGGTTTTTGGAGGTGGTGTGTCACTGGAAATGGGCTTTGATCTGGTTTTCATGGGGCAGCAACTAATCATTTTTATCTAAATATAACTATATACATTCTCAGGCAATTTGATTTCACTACAAGTCAGAAATTGAGATCTTTTTGGTCAGATAGAAATACCTATATCTTATATATCTGTGGCCAAGTGATGTTCCTTCTAAAGCATTATGCCAGTCCTAAAGATCACAGCTGATGCCTAGACTAGAATTTGACCCATCATTTTTATACCAGAAAATAAGACATAAGAACACTTCTTGTTAGAGTCCTATTTTGAAAATATTAAAGGCTCTTTCTGAAAAATAGTCTTCCCTTGGCAGTGTCCTATAGGAAGTCAGCAAGGATCAGCAGATGTGGGCTTCCAAAACATCTCTGTTCCCATATGAAGTCTTGTAATTTCTCAAGCCGTGTGTTCCTGCCCAAACCAAGCAATTGCAACAAGATCCTTCTATCGATTCTTAATTTTGTCATTGCTGTTGTTTTCTTGCTTTGTTAGTCATTGTGGTGAATGACCCCTATAGTCTCATAGATTTGAATGCTTGGTTACCAGGGAATGGCACAATTTGAAAGGATTAGAAGGTGTGGCCTTGTTGGAGGAAGTGTATCATTGATGATGAGCTTTGAGGTTTCAAAAGCCCATTCCAAGCCCAGAATCTCTCTCTTGGCCATCTGATCAGGATGTACCTCCTAGCTATGTCTCTAGCACCATTTCTGCCTGTGTGCTGCCATGCTTCCTGTCATAATGATGATGATGGACTAAACCCTGAAACTGTAAGCCAGGCCCAATTAAATGTTTTCTTTGCTAGAGTTGCCTTGGTCATGGTGTTTCTTCACAGTAACTGACTAAGACAGAAGTTGATACCAGGGAGCAGGGTACTGCTGTGACTGGCATGATCATGAAGTTTAGACTGTCCCCAAATGTGCTATGTGGCTAAGGCTGCCCTGAACTACTTATTGTCCTGACTTAACTTTCCATGTACCATCATTATAGGCATTTCTGGAATTCTAGCCAGAAATAGTCACACACCTATAATAATGCACATCAATTCTTAATATGATATTGTGTGCTAATTTGAGCCATGCCAGATCTTGATCCTGGCCTACCATCACATTGGTATGATCACAGACCTATTATAAGCCTATTGGAAAACATGGGGGCCACAGTGTAAACCTATTCCTGGTATTTAATTGTACTCTCTCCCAACAGAGCACCAATAGATACTGGTCTGTCTCAAATTGTCCAAGCTACAGGGAATCCGTTCTTACCCTCTCCTTTTCACTTCTCATAAAGGCATAAAGACTATACTTGGGTGGGCTCATGACTTCCAAGGGCATCAGTGTTCACACTGCCTTATTACCACCCCAGAGGGTTAGATTCCTTGTGCTTTTAGAATGGGCCTTTGATAGGGGCTTCATTAGGCTTCTACTGTGCTCCCTATGGGCTCCTTGTTTCCTATAAAGCCCATAGACATGGCTCAACACAATGTTTAAAGGGAGAACAGTATTCCTGTTTATCCCTGATTCTACAACAGCTTTACCAGCCGTGGCTGAATCAAGTCCAACCTCCAAATTCATGCCCAGAAAAGAAACTATCTCAAGGACGCCAGAAAGCCTGGGACTTTAAACTACTGTATGAACTATAAAGTCTACACACAGCTGTTCATTCTGCATGTTTAACCAACCTATCTCCTGTAACTTCTCCCACACTAAGTCAGCTCCTTTGTGATGCTGTACTGTGACACACCCAGAGGGCTATGTTTTAGACTACCCTAAGCCTCAGGCATAAGCCAAGTAAATGGCTTTTCAGTGTCCGACAGCTGTTTAACAACCTAGTACTCAAACCTGAGAACTAGGCTGGCTTCACCCAAAAAGCATTATTTTAGAAAAAGGTATCTGAGTATAATGACTAACTCCATGGTATTCTCGCTAAAGGCAACTGGACTAGAAGAAACCAATGTTCTGTAACCAGTTAGACCTGCCTGAATGCAGGTCTTAAGCCAGATAGCATTTATATACAATTGTTATTTAGTTTACCAGTGTACACAGGAAACTGAAGCACATATTCCACACAACATCTTAGCACCATAAGCACCAACTAACCCTTGTGTACATCCTCTCTTTTAAAATAAGGCAGAGGATTAAGTTTTTCCAAGGGAAAGCATAGATCATAGTTTCTGGTTTGCATATTTCCTTCTGGTTTCACTGTTGCCCCTCAGTGTTACGCAAACACCCCTTGTAGGGTAAAAGGACCAGCCAAAGAAAACATGTTGGCCCTGAAACCAGAGCCAACCGAAGAAACACACCCTGGCCCTGCAACCAGAGCCCAAAAAACACACTTTGGCCCTGAAACCAGGGCCAGTGAAAGAAACACACCCTGGCCCTGAAACCACAGCCAGAAGGCTAAAAAGGGCCAGTGAAAGGAATACACTTTGGCCCTGGAATCAGAGCCAAAGAAACACACACTGCCCCTGACGAACTCAGCACGAAAACCAATCAATCCCTGAGCACAAAAACCAACCAGTGCCTGAGCGTGAAATCCAGCCCATGTCTGAGCTTGTCCAGGCTCAGGGATTGAAATCTGACCGGTTCCCACCCAGAAAATCTTCACCCTAGAAAAACTCCACCCCTAAGAAGCCCTATGTAAGCCCTGTACCTGTTCAATTGACTGCGGCCCTTTCCCACCCTGGCAGAGAGGCAGCCACCCTCCTGATTCTTCCTTCCCGATAAATCTCTTCTAAGAGGTTTGGGTTAGACCTTCTCTGGCAGGAATGGAGTGGATGAGAGAAGTAACAATATTTGATGGAGCAGAGTGCAGCAGAACTGTAACAACTTTCGCTGGGGGAAACCCTCCCCTAGCAGAGCTGAATTGTTATTCTCTGGGGGACCTGAGCAGAGCTGTACCGCTTTCGCTGGGGTTTGAAACCTTCCCCAGGGAATAGTGGAGCCCAGTTGTTACACTCTGGAGGACCTGAGCAGAACTGTACCGCTTTCACCGGGCTTTGAAACCTTCCACCAGTGGAGCCGAGTTGTTACACTCTGGGGGGCCTGAGCAGAGCTGTAACATTTTCGCTGGGGTTTGAAACCTTCTCCCAGGGGAGCTGAGTTGTTACACTCTGAGGGACCTAAGCAGAGCTGTAAACACACTTTTGCGGGGGTGGGGGGGTGGGGGGGTACCTTCCCCTGCAGGGGCAGAGTTGTTACGTTAGGGAAACCTTTCCCTGGAGCAGGGCTGTAAATGGCTTTGTGGTACTCCTTGAATCCTGACTGCCAGGATCCTTTTCCATTCCAAACTGCAATGCTTACACCCGATCCTTGAGGTTTATGTGAACAGTGTGCTACTCTACTCCATGCCCCTCCCCCACACACTGCCAACGCCTGCTGACCTGAAGCATTCCCACCCATGAATGAAGTCTTCCCCCAACATAGCCCATGTTTTCACCAACCCAACTCGAGATGGCAACACCACACTGGTAATACTGAAGCCTTCTATTCTCACAGCTCACCGGAATGGCTTCTCTGTCGTCTCCCCCAGCCACTTCCTCACATCAAGGCCACTGCTCACACCATCTCCATTAGAAACTTCCCCCTCTCAGGCCCCAATTCACAGTTTAAGTGCCCCAGGCTAACTACAGTTTCTCTCCCAACCCCACCACCACTCCACCCCCCACCCTACCCCTGGCATTCCTGGGTGTTTCATGATCACATCCAGCTCAAAAAAAGGCGCACTGAAAGGAGTCAGAAGCACTGGTAACGGTTTAGACACTTTTAATAACATGTCTAATTCCCCCCCCCAGCTAGGGGGACATTGGGGCGATTTGAGGCTTAAGGGGGGAACCTGCAGCCTCTGAGACCCAAGTATTATCAGTTCTTATCGGGTTCTGGTGTCTTCTCAACCATAGATTGGTTGTCATCTTTGAGGAATTGATGGAGCTCTTCGTTGTTCTGTAATGCCTGGGACACGTGCTCTGAGCCTATAAGCTTCTTGCCACTGCTGTGGGCTTCCTTGCTGGTCAGGTCAAGGATATTCGATGTCAGGGACTCGAGTACACCGGCGAGGAACCCGGATGGGGAAGCGCTCAGATGCTGAGAGAAGTTTCCTTCTCGGAGGAAGTGGTCAACGAGGCTCACAGAAAACTGCAGCTGAGCTCTTCTGGAGCGGGATATGTTCTGCTTACGCCTTTTATCTTCCATGGTGCCCGTTGGATGGTTTGCATTCAGCTCTGGATCTCTTCTGAACTGGGTCTCTCAAGACATCAGCTTTTATAAGCACCAAGTGCTCGTCTCTGCCCTTCATTGTTCAGGAAAGGCCTTTGTGACTACAGACTTTATTATGTCATTAGTGCCCCCCCTGGGCCACTGCTCCTCCTTCAGTCTAGAAGTGCCCATGTTAGGAAAATGTCCTACTTATTTCAACAGCACAGCAAACGTTTGATTTTCAATTAAAACTGTTCACCCCACTTTAGCCCACTCCAGCTTTGAAGATTCTAGCATCACCTTTGACATTTTGTACATCCTTCTATAAACTGTTGGTCACTGACAGATGTTACAGTTGAACATGTCCCCCATAGGCAGATGAGTAACGTCAGGGAATCCATCAGTATACTTAGACCTTGTTCAGGGATTCAAAAGCTATCCGATGTGTAAAATCTGGGTTCTGGCCCATGGCTATGGATTATTATAAATAAACATAACCCTCTGAGAATCTCAGGGCAGTATTATAGAAGGAAGGCTTTCATCTCAGAGAAGCCATAGTAGGTGGATTAAACATGCTGGATGGACAGCTCTATGTGATTAAGTAGTCACCATTTCTCAGATCTTGTTTACTGCCTGGGGTGGAATTTGAGGTTGGCTACCTTGTTTGATAACTTGTTGGCAAGCCCTTGATACAATAGGCCTGATATAAGTTCAAAGAAACGGAGCTTATAGCTTCAACTCTGCAACTCAACTGTGGGTCATGTATAAATGAAAATAGGTGTAAAAATTCAACTAGTATTCCCAGAGAGTATAACATTCTCAATTGAATTGAGATAAAACAGACAAATGAACAGTAGAAATACTTGGCAAGCTGGATTCTCTTCAGTCTTCTACCCATAAGTGATTAATTTCTAGAAATTGTGGGCTCTCTAGAAAGGCACATCCTGAAACCAGATGCCTAACCACTTGGGCTCTTCTAAAATGTCCATTTCCATCTGGCTTCACCATCACTCCATCGTCATGTGAATGGTTTGTCCCCTTAAGCTCATGCCCACAGTGTGGAGCCCCTCCCCAACACCCATTTTCTTCTGATCTGAGACCTTCACTCCCATGAAAGAAGACTTCCAAGCAGAATTTCTGGTCATCATCAGTGTCTCCTAAGTTACCATACTGAAAATCCAACTTGCCAGTGAGACTCCAGCCAACTTCCAAGATTCCCTGAGGCTTCTTTTGTCCTCAGAGTCAACAAGGGAGCCTTCTCTGCCCTCTCCTCCACCCAATTCCTCCCATCAGGGTCACTGCCCATTCCACCCCCACAGAGAGGTGGTCACTATAGATCACTGATTCAAATACCCATTACTAACCACAACTTCCATCCTCTACCCCCTCCTTAGTACCTTGTGGACATCTCCAACTCAGAGAGACAAACTGAGAAGAGTCAGGACAAGTAGCTTTTGGTCAAATGCTTTATTAGTACTCATGGACACCAGGGCAGCCTCCTCTGCTATTGGCCATCATGGTTCTAGCTGAGTCCATGAGGCTTCCCACCCTTAGGTTCTGTCCCCATTCTTTAGCCATTCCTTCTGGGTCCAGGCATCTCATCAAACAGAGAGAAAGGTGCGTTCTTGAAGGCATGAGAAGGTTCACGGTTGTTGTCTGCCTGCCTCTCTCCATCTTGTGGGACATCTTGCTGGCTGTTGATGTTGGCTTCGGAGCCCACCACCTCCAGGATGTAGTCGGTAAGGTAATCAAGCATGGCGAGGAGGAAATCTGAAGTGGTGGAGCCTAGGCAGGGGGTATATTGCTCCTCCTGCAGTAGGCGGTACACGCAGTTCACAGGAACCTGTACCTCAGGTGTAGAAGAAGAATCTTCTATGCTCTTGTTGTCACCGCAAGACTTTTCTTGGTTCTTCTTCTCTGACATGATGGTTTGATGGACTGGGCTCCGGTACACTCTGCTTGGTTCACCAGCAAAACTGGGTCTCTGAAGACACTCAGTGTTCAGGCCTGTCCATTGCATCCCCAGCCTCTGCTATTGGTCAGACCTTTATGACATCTTAGGCTTTGAGATGTCACTGGTACCAGTGGGCACCAATGAGTCCAGACTAGGCCTCAGTCTAGAAATATCTGCCATAGCAATCTGACCTCCCTACCATGATTTTGAGAGATAATTAACTACCCCCAATTACACTTGAATTAACATTGTAGAAATAATGTGTTTTAGCTGAAAACTGCCTGTCTTTATAACCTTTCATTAATTACAGGGCACTGATAAACATGTCAAACATACTTTCCAGGTAGAGGCTTGACTGACCTCCTCAAACAGTACTGAGAGCCATTTTGATTCAATTTACTTATTTAAATAGGCTTGGTTCACATTCCTATACACTATTTGTATTCCAAATTTAAAAAAATCTTTTTTTCGAAGAGGAACTGCTCAGTGTGTTTCTGGTCTTAATCTACAGAGGACCACTTCTGAGAACAAATCTCTTAATTTTTCACCATTTACAATTTGAGTAGGCTGAGGCTTTCACATAATCCAATCCTGGTTCCTTTCTCCTTATCAGTTTTCCTTTAATTTATTTCCTTTCTCTATCATTTTACTATAAGCGGTAGTTGGGGGCACAGTTTCAACATTTTATTTGGAAATCTGTTCAGCTAAATAAATATTCACATTGATCAGTCAAGTTTTTTTTCTTCACACAATGATAGGAAACAATTCAGCTAAAATTTCCTCTTATTAGTATAGGCAAGACACTGGCAGAACCACCAGCTGTTGGAGTGTGCACAGAGGAAACTGGGGTGGGAGAGAGATTCTGAAAGAGGCAGTTTAGAACATTAAGTAATCCTCAAATTGCCTGTCCCAGCTTAGTTAAAGATAAACCAGAAGAGCAACTTGGGGTCTTAAATTCGCCACAAAGCTAAAGGTGAATGACAGTGAATACAGTATCTGTGCCTCCCTAGTCCAAAAACGTACAATACCACTCATGTTAACAAACTTACTTAGCCATCTCCTATCCCAAACACCTATTGTGAGGATGGAAACCACACAGAACATATTTGAAACTGACTCTCTAGACAACTCCAACAGTAATAAATGTGGCTCTTCCTGTGTTCTCCAGAGGAGGGGGAACACAGTTTTCACACCCACTACTCAGGAGACCCTGGGCAGAATGCTGTTTTCATCCAACCTCAATGCATCTGACTATTTGCTATGTCTGTGTTCCCAGTTGGTGATACTGTGTGCCCAGTTGACAGTCTAATCTCTGTTTCATTCTTGGGGAAAGAGCTCAGGAGGAGGTACTCTGAACCTTAGATTTCCTCATACAAAGGACCTCAGTGATTCTTTAGTAACAGATTTGGTGCTGTGACTTGGATGTGTAAGGGTGGCCTGAATATAAGGTGATACCCTCCTCACTGACTCTGTAGCTTGACCACTCCTCCCCCTTAGGGCCCTCCTGGAGCATCTTTATTCTTCCATAGTCACTCCATCTGTTTCCCTTGTGTTATAGCCCCACTACTTCCTCCACCTACTTCCCTGTTTGGCATGCTCTTTCCAGGGGGTTCTTTCTGGCTCCTCTCCTTTTCCTAAATCCTGTTGCCTGGATCTTCTCGGGTTCCCTCTTTCTTTTCCCAGGGGTTGTTGCCACTAGGATGCCACTCTCTCCCCCCATCTTTAGTTTCAGTTCCCTCCCCTTCATCCCAAAGCCCTCAATTCCATTCTTTTTTTTTTTTTTTCTTTTTTTTTTTTTGGCTTCAGTGCTCGCAGCACACTCCATCACCTGGTTCCCAGAACTCAGATTGCGCAGTGGTCACGTCATCATCGGCGGGGCTCACAGCAGGCGGCGTGGGTACCCCTAAACCTGCAACCCTCCCCTCCCCCGGCCTCCCCTCCCCCTCGGCCCCTCACCCCTCAGCTCCCCGCCCGTGCCAGGTCCCCCGGCCCCATCACCTGCCACGTTTTCATAATCCTCTCAGGCTCCAGACCAGCAGCGCCGGCCGCGTGAGGCCTGATCATATAAGGAAAATACCTCGGGCTCACTCGGGGCTGGGTCGGGGACCCAGGCGCGCCCTGCTCTACCGCATTTCCCTTCCCTTCTCCAGACGCCCCAGCTACGCGCGGCTGAAAGCCCTAAACTAGCCCAGGCCTCCGCCATCTGACTGCTCAATTCCATTCTTGTATCTCCCTCTTCTATGGCCCTGATCATTTGGTCACTCTCTGTTGGCATCTGATTCCTCTCCTCTCCTGCTTCTCTGGTCTCACCTGTCTCAGAAGAGCCCATACCTCCTGTTCTCCCAATCCTGGCTCTAAGAAGCCATAGTGTTTGGTGTCGATGGTCTTAAAACTCTTTTTGGTTCTCCTGTTCTCTTCTGTAGCTACTGCTCTCTTCCATAGCTGCGGTAGTCCCAGAATAGCCCCTAGGGTGTGTGTTCCTCAAAAGCAGCTCTATGAGAGACACTATTGGTCTTCCTGTCTGTGGACACTCCACTTCAGGCCTGCTTGTTTCCCGGCCTGCTTCCCAACCTGCTTTCTGGCTTTCTGGTCAACGCTGTCCTGGTGTCACAGGCTTTTCCTGGTCTCCCCTTCTCATGACCACTGTAATGGTACTTTTGTCAACCAGAAACAAGTTGGAATCATCTGGAAAGATGGAGCCTCACTGAGGAACTGACTTCATTAGATTGGCCTGTAGGCAAGTCTGTAGGGGCATGTTCTTGATTAATGATTGACAGAAGGAAGACCAGCCCACTAGGGATGTGCAAGCACTTAGACGTTGGTCCTAGAATTTATAGTAAAGGTATAGAAACCCACAGCCAAAATCATCCTAAATGGAAAAAAAGCTTGACAAAACCCACTAAAGTCAGGAATGAGACACAGACAGCCACTTAGCCACACCCTCATTATGCCCTAAGTACTAGGTAGAGGAATAAGGCAAGAGCAAGAGAGGGAAATTAAAGGGAACACAAATAGGTAAATAAGTTGACAAAGTAATCTTATTTGAAGGTAACATGATACGACAATACATTAGGAATCCCAAAAATTCTACCAGAAAACTTCTAGAAACGATAACAAG